CTTCGAAGACGCCAGCCTCGGGCCTGAGGTCTGGCACTTTACTGGCTGTATGACTGTGGATACATTACTGTATCTCTCTTTGTCTCAGTCTCTTCTTGTACAAGAGAGGAGAATAGCTTATATGCAGGGTTGACAAAAGGATGAGAAATTTTCAATATGTCTGTATACCATCCCCCGGCACAGTACATCACGTAGGCGACAACAAATGCTAGCTATTATTATTATGTCAGTAGAGTCAGCTTCCTATGTAACCACAGGCAAGCAGGGGAGAGCATCATGCGAATATAGTTTCAATAATCCTTAGAGTGAGGCAGGCTGAATGTGGGGGAGTTCCCATCTTCCCCGCACAGAGGAAGAAAACAGAGGTACCCTCCCTGTGATATACAGTGAGCCGATAGAAAAAGTTTATATCTACATCTTTAGCTAGGGATGTCAAACCCCGAAGGCTTAATTAGAGCCTGTTAAGCCATTTCCGATCCTCAGATGAAAGGTGTGCTCATCTTATTACAGCGCTAACAAAGTCGCTTGGGGGCTGCTCAGCATCTCTGATCTTTAGACCAAGTTAAATGAAGGAAATTAAGGACCTTCTAAAGCCGTGCCTTTTTTTTTCTTTCCTAGTCTCTTTCAAAGAGGGTTTCTCCCAAATCAGGAGGGGAGATTATAATATTCTTTCTTTTTATTTTTCAGATGTAGTCAGTGATAGACACACACAAGGCTCCCACCCACTGGTTCTCTCCGCAGATGCACATACAGCAAGGGCTGGGCCAGGCCGAAGCTAAGAAGAGCTGGGCACTCAATCCAGGTCTCCCATGTGGGCAGCAGGGACCCAGCTACTCGGGCCATCACTGCTGCTTTCCAAGGTGTGCATGAGTGGGAAGCTGAGACTGGGGACAGAGCCAGGACTGAAAACCAGGCACTCTGACGTGGGATGAGGGCACCCCCACTGGTATGCTAACCCATGTGCCCTGACAATACTATTCTAATGATGCCTCCCAGGACATCTTCCGGTGAATGAGAAGGGAGAAGTGGGGATGGGAAGTGGAAATATCACGTGGGGGCGTGGCTGCAACACTCCTGCCGACCTCTGTGCCCATAAATAAATAACTGAAAATTGGTCCAGGTTCAGCAATGTCACTTACAGGGCACCCTAAGGAATAGGCACCCCCCAGACTGGCTCCAGTGGGAGTCCCACGGAGTCCCAGGATGGAAAGCCTCCCTGCACAGAAGCCAAATCGTAGTTTTTAAGTGGTTAAAAATAACCCTGAATTTTGAAAGACTACTTTGAAAATGGTAATAATCCTTTAATCAGCCACCGGCAGGGAACGTGGTATTTGGTTCAGACATCTTACCAATTACAACCCACTGAGTCCCTGCATGGCGCTTTCTAAATAATCAAAACCAGCTCTTAATAGTTACTCGCCCAGACAGCAAGAGAAAGAGTAAAACCAGGCCCAAATGAGAAGATGCCCCCACCATCGAAGCCCAGCTCAGAGGGTCTCGGGGCCAGGGGCTGTTTTGCTTTGCAGCAGGTGGCAGCAACGTGACAGACCTGGGCTTGGGGCTTGGGTTTGGGTGGATAGGGCTTCCAGGGAGGTGAGGAAAAGCCCAGAAGGAGACCCAAGAGAATGGGGTTTGGACAAACCCGAGCATCAACCCCAGCTCTGCCTAAAGCCCTTGCTAATCGTGGGACTTGGGCCAAACCCCTCCCTCTTCCCGAGTTTCCTTATGAGATGAGAATTCACCTGCTTTGAAGGGTTGTCCTCAAGATTGGAAGCGACCTGTGCAAAGGACCCCTGTAGTGTCTTCTGGTACATAAAAGGCATCCAAAGGATGTCATTTCCCCTGCTCCTTGTCCCCTTCCCTGGCCCTGCCAGCGTCGCTTTGCATGAAATCGGGAGAGTATCAGAGCAGAGACACTGACATCCCGCCCGCTTGGCAAGAGAAGCTCAATTAATTATCACTCCCTAAACCATTCCTTCATCTTGTAATAAGCAGGGGAAGGACACCTGTCAAGAGGCAAAGATTGGGCGGTGATTGGGATGGGATCTGGGGACCAGCGCCACGGAGCTACATCTGTGCTCACGACACACCACGCACGGTTTGCACTTGAGATCGCAGGCCCGAGCCAGACAGCAAAGCGGCAGGATAGCCACCAGGTTTGATCAAGAAAAACGGGCAATAAAGGATTTTTGCCACGGACCTTAGAGATCCAAGAAGGAGCACCTGTCCCTGAGAGCAGCGGAAGCTCGCTCGCTCACACACACACACACACACACACACACACACACTGTTAACCGAATGGTCACCTGGGCAGCAGACTCTAGTCAGTATCAGCTCAAAGAGATGGGAGTGGCAAGAAATTCTTTACAAATACTCCTCTGTGAGAGTGACCTGGGGATCACCTGCACTCTGGCCATGCATCTAGTTCAACTCAGGCAGAACCTGGAATGTACTTGGTTTTATGACACAGAGAGCGACAGCCGTGGGGCCTGGGAATGTACATTGACAGCATGTCCCCTGGGCTGTACTCGTGCACTCCTCGGGTCGAGACGCCTGCCCTGGACCACCACTGATGGTCAGCCGCTGCTGAGGGGCAGAATCCCAGGCTGGGCCAGGCTGTGGGGAGTGGAGGGTGGATGCTGTTGGCTGACGATGCTCTTTCTTAATGACTCAGACAACCCTGTGGTCTCACAGCTGGTGGGAGGCAGCCTAAGTGGCGGCTGCCGGAGAAGAGGAATTAAGGTGAAGAGGGACTTTGAACCTCATCAGCTCTCTTTCAAGGGGAGGGCAGGATCGGGGCCACCAGGCAGCTCTGCACAGCAGGTGCTGCTTGATGGAAGGAGTGCTGGGAGTAGAAGCTTTCCAAGGAGCACCTGTAAGGCAAGGCTGAGGTCCTGGGGGAGTTTTGCAGAACCCGGGCTCAGACTCAGCGGAGTAGGGCTGGGGTGGGTGTGAGCACCACGTTCTCCAGCTGCTCCCCGACCGTTCCTCCCCACAGAACCTTCCTCCTTGCTGTGTAAGTGCTCCTTGGAGCGCTTTTCCCTGCCGGCACGACGTTCGGTGTGGGTGTGTTTGCCTGGTAGCTGTCCCTTAGCCACAAAAGCAGACACCCTGTCGGTTTTTAAAGCCTGTCCATAGGAGGCATGGAACAGGTGCCGCTTGAGAGCATGAATGAACGCGCTTCCCGTCACATCCCCAGGAGGACGGCGGCACGCGGAGAAGTCTGCCTGGCGACTTCACGACCGCCTGGCAGCCTCGCTTCTTCGGGGAATGATGAGCCTGAGGGCACAATCCGAGTCCAGAGCCCACAGGCACAGTGATTCCACCTCGTCCTCCCAGACCAGACTGGCGGCGCAGGGACGGTGTCCTGTCCAGGTCTGAACCTGCCAGGGCTGAGCACAGGGCCTGACACATAGCACAGGCTCAGCTGATGACTCATGGGACAAATCTTGTGATAATCCATCCCCACAGTTTCTGGCTACCTACCTACCCTTGCCCCATTAGACAAGTTACCACTTAGAAGACAGCTATTGCCATTGCTTAAGGTTCACGGAGGGCTGGCCAGAGCTGGGAGGAGCTGTTGGCAGAGCTGGCACCAGGCCTCGGGGGAACCTCTGGGATGTTTTCCTTTTACCCTGCTGTCTTCCGAGTAAGGTGACCAGGGCCCGTGCCCAGCATCTTTCCTGGCCTCCTGGAAAGAATGCCAACAGGAGTCTGGGCAGGGCTCCTGGGAGCCTCTGGGATGCAGGGTCGGAGTGGCAGGAGGCAGACGTGACGGGCCTCTACAGCGAGGAGTTTCATCAGCACCGCCCGCAGAGCTGGGTGGCCAGATTCACCCGGGGCTCTGACCTAGGTCCACCCAAGAACACTCATGTGGAGCGGAGTTCAAACTACATGTTTAACAAGTTGCCACAGTGGTTCTGATGCATAAGCAGCCATAAGGGTTAAGAACCTGGGCTTCAGAAGGAGACACTTTCGGATCCAAAACCAGCCTTGCCGCAAGTAACTAACTGTTCAAGGACAAGTCAACCAATCTCGCTGAGCCCTTCCATAAATGAGGTTTAATTAAAAGTATCCATCAAGAGCAATTCTGGAGAGGATTAATAAAAGCACCTATTTAGTGGTGTTAAATGAGCAAGCACACATGACATACTTAACGTAGCACAAGGCCCATAGTAAGTTCTTAACAAACCAAGGTTGCCATGGTACCCAAGGTGAAAGGCATGATTCTCTGTCACCTCCCAGAAAAGGCGGTTCTGCGGCCCCTATAGCATCGGATTTCTGGTCCAGCCACTCCCACGGGCAGGGAGCTCTTTAGCAGGCCTACTTCCTGCTGTGATGAGCATCTGGCTTTTCCTTTTCCAGCCTTGTCTAGGACTGGAGAGGGGCTGGCCCAATAGGCAGAGCTGAGGGCCAAGGTGCTGTGCAGGGTGGGACGCCTTCGGAGAGACACTTGTTTCCTCTGATGGAGAGGGTGGGGGCAGGAGAAGAGTGGGGAGCTGAAAGGAGCAGCCAGGGAGAGGGGTTGTGATTGACATGGGGGCGGGGCTGTGGGTTGGCCAGAGAGGCGCAGACAGGAGGGAAGAGGATGTCACTTGCCAAAGGGCCTCCTCAGCCCGCATGGGATCCAGTCTGTGCCTTGTCAGCAAGCTCCATGGAGGCTAACACGGGTCCAGGGTGAGGCCGAGACTCCAGGGGTGCAATGCCCTCTTTTGGAGTGGACAAGGCCTGGGAACTCCTTCCTTACCTGACACCCCCTTGCTTCCTCTCTTGGGCCACGATGCACAGTTGTGGTATACCCTCCTGGTATTTTGCTGGGGGTGCAGTCCCTGACCCGGGCTGCAGGTAGGAGCCTCACCCAGGACGTAGCCTGCTGCTCTTGGGGATAAGCGAGAGCAGGAGGCCACCCTGAGTGCTCAGGAGTCAATGAAGAGGCTGGCTGGGGACAGACGAAGGCAGAGAGGCGGGATCAGCTGTCAGGGCAGCGTAGCTCAGCTTACCTGCCGAAAACCATTCCTCGTGAACTGCAAGATTTTCAAAGCGTAGTTGGACCTCTGGCCTTTGCTGTTGAATTCAATGTGGCCGGTGAGACCTTCCAATTCTACCTGTCCAAGAGAGAGTGAGTTGCAGCACCAAATAGGTCCCCCGTTCCACTTGGTCCTAACCAAGCATCCCACACCTGTGGAGAAGGAAACATCAGGACCCACTCTCCTGCCCACCTCCGGCCACGGCATCTAGTGATGACAAATGGGATGTCTCTGGAACCAATTCAGACCTGGCTGGGGTCGGAGAAGGAGACTGATGCTCCACACCCAATAACCCTATACTAACGACATCAACTAACACAAGTCATGGTGTCAGCTTGGACTTGGATTCCCCTCTGCTCTCCCCCTCCCCCTTCTAAGTCCTGCACTGTCAGCAGCACTCTTTGGGCATCTGCTCACCCACTCCCAGGCCTACGAGAGGTCGGGATGTCCCTGTAGCTGAGACTAAGTGCCAATCGGAGACCTCTACCCCAGGCCTTTCCAACAGGAGGTGTCTTCTTCCTGGGGTACAGATCCACGGCCCTCCAGCAGAAGGCATGACTGGGAGGGCTCAGGGGGGATTCCTAGGATGGAGCTTCAAGTCTCCAGGCTGGGGTTCCAGCAAGGATGACCACTCCCCTCAATCAGGCTGCTTAACAGTCTAAGGCTCCAGGGCCACCGCCTTCTGAGCAAACTTGCCACGGATTCTCAGTGGTTTTCAGGGACCAGGGCACAAACGTGACCCATGGGGTTGCCACAGATGACATTTTATCCAGGGCTGTGATCTGCTGGGGAGGCCTGGAGTTGAGGGGCTCTTGTGCCTTCAGCCAGGTGTCCCGGCCCCCCAGTTGTGCTCAGCAACAGGGCCTCGGCCACTGCTCACCATGCGCAGGTAGTTCATGAGGCTGGTGCCGTGCTGCCAGATCTGCGCCGAGCCGCACGACAGGGGCTTCACGCCGATCTCCTGGCTCCGGTTCAGCTCCTGCACGGCAGTAACCACCGCGTACACAGCATCGAACAGCAGCGCCGAGGACAGCTGGGCGGGGCAGGGAGCAGGGCAGGAGGAGGTGGCAATGGGCGTGGAGGAGGGAGGGAGAAAAGAAAGGAGAGGGAAAAGAGAGCAAAAGCGAGGGCACTTAGGGTGCACTGTCAGCACCCTCAGCTCACCCCGTCTCTGGAGCAGCTCCCCTCCGGCTGGCCAATGGGAAGCTCACCCAAAGCACATGAAGGTGGCAAAGGCTTCTTTGGGATCCAAGCACCAAGTTTCCTCTTTGGGCCCCAAATGCTTTCAAGGTACCTTTCCTCTGTGCTCCAGGAAAACAGCAACTCCCTTGGGGCTGGAGTTGTGGCGCAGTGGGTAAAGCCACCACCTGCAGCACCGGCGTCCCATATGGGCACCGGTTCAAGACCCGGCTGCTCCACTTCCAATCCAGCTCTCTGCTATGGCCTGGGAAAGCAGTAGAAGATGGCCCGAGTGCTTGGATCCCTGCACCCATGTGGGATACCCAGAAGTTCCTGGCTCCTGGCTTCGGATTGGCAGAGCTCCAGCCGTTGCGGCCAAAGAATAAAAGACCTCTCTTCCTCTCTTTCACCCTCTGCCTCTTCTTCTCTCTCTGTGTAACTCCGACTTTCAAATAAATAAATAAATCTAAAAAAGAACATCAACTCCCATTACTCCCAAGAATCTCCAGGCAGAGGTGTGGGGCTGCTTATCTCAGGAAGAAGGCCAGAACCTGGCCACTCCCCCTCTGATTTGCCCACAGTGTGAGGCTCAGTTGAAGGTCACAAGCCCCAGAGTATCGATCCGCCCTAGACGTGCCCACCTGTTATCACAGTCTATGTTGGCCTGGGTCAGTTCAGAGCCCAAGGATGAGTCAGATCCTAAGCGTGACAGGTCGGGGGGGAAGGTGCACAGAGACGGGACAAAAATCAAGGTAACATGACTCTGAGTGACACGGACCCACGGAGGTCTGTGGGGGTCCACAGAGAGAGGTATCTGGTTGGTGGATCAAGAAAGTACGCGTTCCTGGATGGGGAGGCGGGATGCAGGGGGAAGCAGTGAGGCACTCGGGCGGGACTGCAGGTGCAAAGACTAAGGGGCGGAAAGTGGGCTGCATACCTGGAGGAGGGGGAGGGGAGGAAACGATAAATCAGACCCAGTCATGCAGCGGAGGGTCTTGAAGCCAGGCAAGAGGCCTGCACAGCTGCAAGTCCAGACTTTAACTTGCAAGCCCCTCAGGGTGGGGAACACACAGGGCCTTCATCCCCGTCTGCTGCACCTCGTGTGAGGCCTGACATGGGTTGGACATCGTGACACATTTCTCGACTTGGCTGAACTCACCCACTGCCCAGTGCGGTAACCCCAAGCCTGCAGCCTTTGGGGAGGGGAAGGCCAGGCTGCCTGGGTGGAGGGGGCAGGAGCAGAGGCACAGAGGGTTCCTGTGCTTGGGGGGAGTGCAGCGGAAGGAAGAGGGAACACTGAGTGTGTTACTGTGCCAGAGGTTCTGTACAAGGAAACCCCAGGGAGTGCAAATCACAGAACAGTCAACGGGGAGACCCAGGAGGGAAGGGGGAGGCCTCCCGGGGGGAGTGACCTTGAGGGGATAGAAGTCCATACCCTGGATCCCATTACAAAGCAAACAAAGCTGATATCCCCTACTGGGGATTCAATACAGCTTCTTCCAACTGCAAAAAACAAACGCAAGAGACTGGTAGAGCACCCTCGCATGTGATGGGCTTCTTACAACCCGCCTCCTACATGTCCAGCCCTGGGACGCTGGCCCCTGCAGGCCTGGAGGGAGGCGACTTGGGTTCTTCAGACAGCACAGGCCAGAGGCAAGAGCTTGAAAACTGAACACTACACTCTGAATACAGGTCGCAGTCTCAGGTGCCGAGCGAGACACAGGTGGAGGCCTGGAGTGAGGGGCATGCCTCCCAGGAGAGCCTCCTGTCCCCTTGGACAAACAGCCCTTTTTCTGCCTCTTGACCCTTGCGACCACGCGTGTGGCCTGGAACTGCCACAGCTGTCATGGCTCCAGCCTCAGTGCGATTCTGACACGAAGACAATAGAGCAGAGATGGAAGGGACCTGGGTGTCTGACCTCCTCCCTCCAGAATCTCGCGACCCTAGGTCATGACATCGTTCCTTTATTTTTGCAGAAGGCATTTCAGTGCAGAGTCTCTGTTGCTGGGGGTGTCCGCGTGCCTCAGCCCCTCCCACAGCCCCTTGGTTCTGTGGTGAGGCCACCTCCGCCGTGCGCCAGCTGGCTGTGCCACAGGCTTACTGCTCTTCCCTCTCCATCTGGGAGGCCGTCGTCTTGGCTGATGCTCTTATCAGTGCACACTCCGGGTGCTGGGAGACTGGCGTGTGCCTGTTGATGATGTTCTTTGGCATCTCCAACGCTGGGGCCTTTGAGATTCTTCAAGTGCTTCCGGTAATTATGACTCCAGCTGGAGAAAACGGGGGGCAGGCGGGTGCAAGGAAAATCCTCAAGGTTCCTGTCTCATCTCCACCGAAGCATGGCTTTTAGGGGCAACACGGGCAGACCCCAGTAGGCGCCGGCTTCATGGGTCTTGCATCCAAGCTGATATCCCCTAAGCTCGGAACATCTCCTTGGGATTCTCCAGCCATGACCAGGGCACCCCTCTTTTGGCAGGCTCCTGGCCCATCCCTCTTCCCTCCCCCGACCCGTCAATCTCCCCAGCTCCAGTTCAGCCTCTGAGAATGTGAGAGCCTGGAATCCCTCTGCCTCATCAATTTTCCCACCTCGTTTGAGATCTCCGTGCCGAAGCATCGCTTTGCTCTCCTAACTGCCTTCTCCCTCTGCTATTATTTACTAAGTTAGTTCTGAAAAGCATCTGGGACGACAGTCAGGGAAAGGCAGGTTCAGGTGCAAAACCCTCTGTCCATGCCTCCTCTTCTAGGGTCGGGGGGGTATCCCACCATCTCCCATCCATTCCCTCTCCTCTCCTCTCCGGAGCCGGCCCCCTCTGTCTCCTCCGCGGCCTCTGCTCCCCATCTGTGTGCACGCGTGTCTTTCGGTGCCTCTCGCTTTTGTCTCTGCTTCTCTTGTCCCTGTCTCTGCTAAATATTAAATTCCCCAAGCAGCTCGATCCTCATTTAAAATCCTCTCCTCTTCCTTGGCATCAAAATGTTGTTTGGCAAGGAACCCTCGATTCTCTTGTTTTTATATTTTCATTTGGTTCTTCATTGTTATTTTCTTTTGAGCTGTTTGCAAATTGTTTAGGGGAATGAAAGACTCGGTATAAATTAAGATGAATCAATTCTGAGTCAGGGAGTTGTGGCTGAACTCCTTCCCCCTCCACAGAAAAGAAAATAAGACTATCTTCTAAGCACACACCTGTAGCCCTCATCTCTCCCCCGGGCCCCGAAAGACCAGATTCCCAGGATGCTCTCCGATGCCTATTTGTCTCTGAACCTCAGTAGCTTAAGTTCTGGCCTCCAATATAATGCCAGGGCAGGAACCATTAAAATCTCATGGAATAGTTCTTACAATCTGGTTTTTATTCAATGAAATAAACACTTAATTACAAACATCTGCTTTAGCCTAAATTCTAATTACTTAATCTAGCCATCTGTAATTTTAATGATTTTCTGCGATTTTCGTTCTTTGCGGCGTGATGAATGGGCATGGTGCATGCGTCTAGCGGGTGCGTCCCCGCTCACGCTGCTCCCTCTCCTGCTCGCTGGGTCTCCAGCAGGAAGCACGTGTGTGGCCTGCTGTCGGCCACCTGGCAGGTGCCGCCACCCTGGGCACATGGAGCTTTCTTTTGGCCACCTCGCCGGTCAGTCACCCCTCTCCGTGCCTTCAGAGCTGGGCTCCCTCACCCCCTCCCTGGCAGACTCCACTTGCATTACTCGGGGCCCCAGCGGCAAGTGAGGGAGACAGGGAGACAGACGCCAAGTGGGGAGCCCCAGGGAGGGAGAGGGAAATGCCAGGAGCAGGGGAAGAGTGGGGAACCCAGAGTGTGGGGGAGAGAGAGAGGGAGAGAGAGACAGAAAGCGGGCAGAGCGAGGGGGGAATGTAAAGATGAGAATGGGCCTGGGAGGGAGAGAGAAGAGCAGGGAGGGTGGAGGGGCAGACGGGCGGCAAGGGAGGACGCCCGCCCCGGCCGGGGCCCCTCGGTAGCCTTTGCAGAACACTCTGGAGGAGACAGAAACCAGGCTGTGCCCGCCTGGAACCGACGCCTGAGGGCTGGGCTGCAGGTACCTGCGGTTCCTCAGCTCCCCTGGAGCGGGGGAGAGGAGGCCCCGTTTCACGAGGGGGTCGCTCAAGCGAGACGCCTCCAGGGGGACTTGTCGCCGGTGTCACGGCTGGGTGCTTCCTCCCCGCGCCCTCTGGGGTGACAGGGTCCCCACCGCCTTCCCTGGCATGGCGCAGGCACTGAGCCCCTAACCCAGGCAGGTCTCAGAGACCCTCCTAGTGCCACCTGCTCTTCCGTCCCTGTATCCTCACTGTCACAGAGGGGTTCAGGGCCACTCTTGACCGTCACGAGGATGCCAAGGAGAGGAATACAGGTGGAGGGCAGACCACGCTATGAGATGAGCTACGGGGCTGTCAGCGCCTTGCCAGGGTGGAGGAATGGGCACCCCACTCTGCTTAGCAAGAAAGCACCGGTGTCCGTGTGACCAGCCTAGAGAAAGTGGACTGAGCTGGAGAGGATCTGTGACTGCGCACAGTGGGCAGTCCTAGGCCCCTCCCCCGCCAGGCCCAGAGCTTCCACCCTTGTCCTCTGCCCCAACACAGAGTAGTCTGCAGAGGATGCTGCATGTGCACACACGGTGCTCCCCAGATAATTCTTGGGAGCCCCAAGTCTACACAACTAAGGTGGGCACAGCGGCACACTGTCCACAGAATATTTTTTAGTATTTATTTATTTACGTGAAAGAGTTATAGAGAGGCAGAGAAAGAGAGAGAGATCTTCTATCCCTATCTATCTTCTATCCCTGGTTCACTCCCCAAATGACTGCAATGGCTGGGGCTGGACCAGACAGAAGCCAGGAGCCAGGAGCCAGGAGCTTCTTCCGGGTCCCCGAAATGGGTGCAGGGGTCCAAGCAATTGGGCCACCTTCTGCTGCTTTCCCAGGTGCATTAGCAGGGAGCCAGATCAGAAGTGGAGCAGCCAGGACTCGAACAGGCACCCATATGGTATGCCGGCACTGCAGACCATGGCTTAACCTGCTACGCCACAACACTGGCCCCTGGCCGTAGACTCTTACAGTTCCACTGTTGCATGTGCCATCCATCATTGATGTGGCACATACCTATATTTGCCTCCCCACCCCTGATCTCTGCAGGGAGAACTCAGGGGCTTCCCTTGGCATCTACCAGGGTAGCACAGCCCTAGAGCCCTTTCGCTATGCGGATCCTGCTCCCTGCATTGTGCCCCAGAGGGTGGGGACCGTAGCTCTTAGCACCACAGGCTGCACGCTGGGTTCCATCCTTCACTCCACACTAATCAGGCATTCAGACCCTCGGTCACCTGACTTTGTGGGTTTTCTTCCCCCTGGAGAACCGTGGCCTGCATATCCTCACTCCTGGACACTGAGTTGTCTGTGTGACATTCTCAGGCTAACAAAGAAGTGGAGGAAGTCATAGTGCACCTGTTCTGGGAACGGGAGGTCAAGAGGTCCTGTGTGTTTGCACTTCTCTAGTGATTTTCTGCTATCATCACAAGGCAGCTGTTTGTCAGGAGAAGGGTGGGAGGGACGTGGGCACAGCTGCCCAGGTCAGCCCACGTGGGCTCACTGAATGACCTCAGCTGGAGGCAGGAGCTACATAAACATGTATTGTTGTGTGCTAGTGAGATTTTGTGGTTGCTTATGACACAGTATTGACATGGCAAAAGCCACCTGATATATTTACTATTGCCTGTCCCAGCAGCCAGCATCCACATTGTTATAACAGGGGCCAGCGTTGTAGTGTAGCAGGTTAAGCTGCCAGCTGAGACACCGGCACCCCATGAATGCCATTTCGAGTCCTGGCTGCTCCCCTTTTGATCCAGCTCCCTGCTAATGTGCCAGGGAAAGCAGCAGAGGATGGCCCAAGTGCCTGGGCTCCTGCCACCCACATGGCAGACTCAGGTGGAGTTCCAGGCTTCTGGCTTCAGCGTGGCCCAGCCCTAGTCATTACGGTCATTTTGGGAGTGAACCAGCAGACGGATGTTCTCTTTCTCTCTGTCTCTCTCTGACTCTCCCTCTTCCTGTAACTCTGCCTTTCAAATAAATAGGGGTCAGCATTGTGGCACAGCAGGTTAAGCTGCCGCCTACAATGCTGGTGTCCCATATGCATGCTGGTTCAAGTCCTGGCTGCTCCACTTCCAATCCAGCTCCCTGCTACTGTGCCTGGGAAAGCAGCAGAAGATGGCCCAAGTGCTTGAGCCCTTGCCTCCAAGTGGGAGACTTAGAAGAAGCTCCCGGCTCCTGACTTTGGCATGGCCCAGCCTCAGCTGTTTTGGCCAGTTGGAGAGTGAACCAGCAGATGGAAGATCTGTTTCTTCCTCTCTCTCTGACTTTCAAATAAATAAATAGATCTTAAAAAAATAAACAATCTTGAAAATCTACAAAGTTTCAGGCCATTCTTTAAAAATGACAATATTAATAATGAAATATTGTTATAATAAATTTACCTTATAGATAATTATGAATTGAAGACAGTATCATATCCCATTTCATCTGCAAAACCATTCCTCTATGAAGGGCAAGCATAACTGACCCAATATTGCAGATAAAGAATTCAAGGCCCAGCAGAAGTTGGGAACATGCAGCCTGTGGGCCCTATCACTTGGCCTGGCCCTACTAAGGTAGCTGCAGGTGCACTCAAAATCTAATACGTTTATAGCAGGATAATTTTGAAGCTGATAATTTTGTAGGGCCCAGGAATGATGTTATAAATATACAAATAGCCCCAGGCAGGAAAAAACAGTCCCCACCCCCACCCCAAAGAGCTACATAACTAAGACTACGCAGCATGAAGATGGTACGGGCAGTGCTGGGACCCAGGCCCCGCCGCTCCAAGGCTGTGGTCTGCCGCATGTGTGACCACAGCCAGAGCCGGTCCTGCAGCCCAGGGGAAGACCTGGCCTGGCCTTGGGGTTGCATGCTCACAAAGGATGCCCCTCTCATCTGCCCGGTCATGGCCAGGACAGGCAGGGCTCCAACCCTCAGAGAGGAAGTGGAAACGTAGCACAGGGGCCTTTACTTCAGCAGGGCCAGGGCCACACAGGGGAGGGTCTGGGCTGGAGAGCGGCAGAGCTTCTCCCTTTCCTGAGATGGCACCGGGAGCCCTTCAAGGACTAGAGTATCACACAGATGAATCTAAGAACAGGGTTTGCCTAACTGCTGGGGGCGAGGCTGCACCTGCACAGGACACAGTTTAAGAATGTTCCTCACTGTCCCTTAAGTCTTCTAGTGGGGGTGAGGACCCTTTTCCTTTTGGGTGCCCCCCTTTCCAACCGCAGCCCCCACCCCACCCCCAGTCCTTGCTCTTTCAGGTCTAAGCTAGCTGGGTGGGATGCACGCCACAAAGCCTACGGGAAACTCTCCTCCAGCCTCCTGCTCCTGTCTGCTTCCCCAGATCAAAGTTTCTTGGATTTTCCATGAACTCTGACCCTTAGGCTGCCCCTTCCTTCCTAACATTTCCACCAGGCTACGTGGTCGTGAAGGCACTGGGTTTTGTGGAAGGTCAGCATGTCCATACCTGACCTTCAGCAGGTCCTCCTGGGTCACCAGGCTGGCCACTACTCATTAGGCGCCCTGCATGTGGACATGCAGACACGCCTCTGCCTCTGTCCCCAGGATGCAAAGCCCACAGAGAATTCCCACTCCAGGATGTACTCAATTCCATCACCGTCTCCTAAGCCTAACCCTTTTGCATCTCTTTTTAATCTCTATCTCATCATTGCACCTGACATATTCATTCATTCAACAACAACGTACTGACTGCTTTAATCCTGCCAGGCCCACTGACAGCCCAGTGTGGGAAGAGAATGACGGTCCCAGAGAGAGGCCAAAGGTCAGTGGTTAAAAGGACAAACTGCAAAGCCACGTGGCCTGGGTTCCAATCCCAGCCCCTCTGCTTAGCAGCTGTGGGAGCCTGGGTTTTGGGCTCAGCCTCGCGGGTCTTCAGCTTTATCCTTTGTGAAACAGGGACAGTAATGGCAGCTGCCTGAGGAAGCTGTGAACATCCCATGGGCTGCCTGCCCTGCTCTCCCCAGGACTTGCCTGAGGTCTCACAAATGGACACAGCACAGAGATGTGCCCTGCCCCGCACGGGAAGAACATCCGACCGACAGAGAATGGCCAGGTTCCTGCGCTCTCACGGCAGGGCAGGGAAGAATGGGGAGGAGGAACGGAAGGGAGGCTCCCACAAGGCGCCCTGTTCAGGGAGGGGCCCGGAGGGATGGGAAGAGCCCCAGAGCAGCAGCCAGGAGCCCCCCCCCATCTGGTTTTGCTCCGCAAAGGACTGTTTGCTTTTGAACAGCACCCCCGTGTCCCCACCCCACCTCATTCCGAGCCTGGGCTCGGTCCCCTTATCTGGAACATGAAGGAGCAGCTCAGCTCCAAAAGGGTCCTCCAACACAAGGTGCTGGGGGCCTCACTCCCAGCGACAGCATCGGCAGGAGCCGGGCCACGGAGACTCAGACATCCCGAGTGACACCTCGGTGCCTCTGCAGGGCTCTCTCCTGCCGCCTTCTCAACCCAGCCTGCTGCCCCAGCTTACGGCTGCCCCTGCTCCCAGTCCCCAGCCCCCCACTTCCCAGTCTCCCACCACACTTCCCAGTCCCTCCTCCCACTTCTTAGCTCAGACCTCACTTCCCAACCCCACCCCCCACTTCCCAGTCACCCCCACTTCCCAGCCCCACCCCCCTTCCCAGTAACCCCCACTTCCCAGCCCCACCCTCACTTCCCAGTCCCTCCTCCCACTTCTTAGCTCAGACCTCACTTCCCAGCCCCACCCCCTACTTCCCAGCCCCCCCCACTTCCTAGCCCTGCCCTCACTTCCCAGCCCCTGTACCCCACATCTCTTTGAGCCAGGACTGCAGAGGAGAGAGGAAGGCTGGGCTCTAGGAGGGCCTGCTTCCCAGTGGTTGGCTGGCAGAGGGGTGCGTGTGGGGCCCAGGGGCACTGGGAGGAGCTGGGAGTACTTACTGCAGGGCCCGTGAAGGGCACGTGGTCACAGTTCTCCTGCCAGGACTGGTTGAGGCTCTGGGCAAACTCTTGGAAGAAAGCGTGAGACTGGTTGAAGATGGAGAAGCCCAGGATGTTGACGCGATCGTCCACCAGGCTGTCCATTCTCTGGAGGGAGAACTCCTGGGGAGGCCCGGTGGTCAGAAGCAGAGAACACAGTTAGGAAGGGACGACAGGAGGGATGCACTTGGCTAGAGCAACAGCGGGGACCTCACTCTGGTCCACGACACACAAGGCGTTCTGCTGGACTCCACGGGGCACTTAGAGGGAGTCCTGGGAGCTCAGTGTCGAGGCTCGGGGCAGGGAAGGAACAGAGAGAGAAGCAGAAGATCCCATAAGCAGGGGATTTACAAGATGCACCTGCAGGAGGGAGAAAGAAGCAATGGCGCCTGCTGACGGCACACTGAGTCCACGGCAGCTGGGGCTTGAAGCATGCATGGGCATTTTCCCAGCGGAAAACACAGGTGGACAGGGCTACTCCAGCCAGAAATTAGCAATGGACACAAAGGCATGGAGGTCAGAAGCTGGGCGTCCCTTTCAGGGAGCTGCCCGTGGGGCACTTTGATGAGAGCATCATGCTTCAAAGTGGGAAGTACAGTCAGAACCACTCAGGTTTCCTGTTAAAACGTGGTGATTCTTGCACTCTGCTAACACCGGCCGCATCTCAATCTCGGGAGTCGGCATCTCTGGCAAGTCCCTAAGTCTCAGGTGCATCAGAGTTAGGGACCCATGCAGTGAGCACACAGGATTCAGGGGGACCCCCGGGGGCAGGGAGCAATGGTGAGAAATGAGGCAGGTGGGGGGTGGCAGAGGCCGTGCACCTGGATGCCAGGCTGGGGGCCCCTACTTTGTCCTGCGGGAGGTGGGGGCGAGGGGCCTCTCATCAGAGAAGGACTGAACTCAAGTTTGCTAAGACTCAGCCTGAAAGCCTACAGCTAGGGCTGTGCCTTCCTTTCACCACTGTCTTCTTCATGGATTTGACATTTGTTTGTCATGCACCAGGCTCTGTTCTAGGCACCGCGGACACATGCAAGAGAGATGCATTTGCTGCTCTCAGGGTGTTTGCCAGTTAGTGGGAGAGGCAGACAGCTGGGACACGAATGCATTATGATTTCAGACAGCTGTGGGTGGGGGGTATTGCTGCTTTAGATGAGGCAGTCAGAGGAACTCCATCTGGGGAAGTGATATTTGGAAGCTCAAGGAACTTCTGCCAGCAAACCACGGTCCTCATCCAATCACCTGGCCTGCAGGTGAGGGTCTCATCCAGGCCAGCAGTGGCTGCTGAGCTCAGAGCCCTGGACCTCCAAGCTCTCCTGGCCTTGTCCAGGGAAACCAGGCAAGAGGGTCTGGCTCATTCAGCTCACCGGTCCCCCGTTCCTGGAAAAATGCCTTCCAATGTGGGTCAGGCTGTCTCCTTACACTGTAGCCACATTCATCTCACGTTCCTTCCAAGTGTCTTACACACACATACACACACACACAGAGCTCTGTTCCCCATGGACAAACATACCTACAGACCCCAGGACTAACTCCCCGGCCACTCAGCCTGACATACAGATGGTAGGAGCCCAGGCTACTTGCTGGCCTGGTGGAAACCTCACTTGCCTTCAGGCGGTCGTCATGTCTGAAGACTTAGCTCCTGCAGACCCTGGTACCTCATTTGCATCATTACTCACAGCTGAAGTCACCGCCAAGGCCTCGGGCTGCAGGCCTGTGCTCACCTGTGCCCAGAGCTCAGCCACACTGGCCTCAGCTTGCAGAGCAGAGTCAAAATGCCCAATGCCCAGCACCTTTTTTTTTTTTTTTTTTTTTATTGAGCTACCAACCCCTGACAGAGTGCAGTCAGATAAAGATTAAGTGTATTTTGGATCATGCCCTATTCCCAGTAGGGGATCACAGACGTGCCAGAGAATTACTGATTCATTCGCTAATACTATGTCCTGTCTCTCTTCTGGCAGCTGCCCCTGCGCTGTGGGCTGTCAGCACGCAGAGGCAGATGGCTAATGAGAAGAGAGACATTTGGCCAGGGTGAGGTGACCGGGCCACAGAGCCAGGCTCTTGTTGGGAAACCAAGGAGCCTTCCTGGCCATAGTTGGTGGAGTTTCCTTTCTTTATTAACGTGGACAGACACATCACTGCAACTCTGCACAGCCTGAGGGAGGAGGCTATTCAAGGAAGCCCTAAGGTCCACAGACCAAGTGGTGGACGTGGGGCCCGAGGGGACGAGGACTTTGGGGTTCTCTCCAGGCCACACGGCATACCGGCTGTGTGGGCCTTGAGTAACTTTCTGGACTTCGGATCCTTGCTTTGTAAATTGGGAACAATGATATTAGCAAGCTCATGAGCCGTTTCAAGGAAGAACACGGAAGTAGGCAATGGCGGAGAGGCCCATCTGCAAGTGAGCTGTGGTCAGGACGTGAGCGTTACTGGACACCACCATGAGGCCATGGGTGGCGTCTGGCCCTCTACTTTACCCCCACTTGTCTTGGAAACCTGAGTTCGGAAGTGTTGCCTTCCAATGCATATTTTGGACAGAGTTAAGAACAAATGAGTTGATTACAGAGACAGTCTACCCAAAAGTCAGCCAGTCTGTCTTCCTGTCCTGTCATTCCTACCTTTTTATCCCTCACTTATATCCTATTTTCAAAGGCCTCTTAAGATGAAAAGATTCCCTGAGTTTCCTTGATAATTCATTCTATTTATAATGACTCATGAGAGAGCCTGCGGAAGAACAAGACAGGGGTAGCGTATTCTTTTGTTGCAATTTCCTGGGACACACTAGGACGCTACTCTCCGAGCACCCTTACAGTTAGGAAGTTCTTGTTTCTGTCTAACCTTAGGCTCTGCTGCTGCCGATGTTTTCTAGAACACGGGAAATAGCTGGCCACCACCAGTTTATATACAATGAATACCTTCCAATCCAGCATTTCTCATGGTGTGATCCTCAGGACATTCACTTTCCAGGAGATGTTAGCAGAAATTTCACAAAAACACGGTTCCATATCCAAATAAGATGAGAGAACATGTCGTCCGTCACCTGCCTCTTGGAGAGTCACGAGAGGCCCTGGCTACTAGAGGCTCGGAGAACTCCCGCAGCAGAGCGGCTTGTTTAAATCTGCTGAACCCCAAACTCTCCAAACGTGCTGATGGCCGTGGAATCCTCTCCCCCAAGCCCATGAGGACCCCACTGTAGCATTCTATAGAACCCCAGTGTAGGAAACGCAATTCTAAAGGTATTCAGAGAGACACGCACTATGACTTCCAAATTAAGTGGCAGACACGTTTTCTTGGGGAAGAGATGTCATGAAGTGAACACGTTTCAGGATGAGAAGAGGATTACAGGTGATCTGGTTTCTGCTGTAACCTTGAGTTCTAAGAACGTCCATGTGGCTCACTCAGGTTCCCTGTGCACCCCTCACCTCTGTCCCCAGCCCACGCTGCCATCCTGGAGTGGAAGAGGTTCCCAAAGGACCATTTTCCCCCCAAAAAAGATTAATTTACTTGAAAGGCAAAGTGACAAAAATAGGGAGAGACAGAGAGATCTTCCCTCTGCTAGTTAGTTCACTCCCCAAATGCCTGGAACTGTGGGAACTAGGCCAGGTCAAAACCAGGAGCCAAGTCTTCCACAAAAGTGGCAGGAAGTCAAGTACTCGAGCCATTATGTGCTGCTTCCCAGGCATGTCAGAAGGGACCTGAACTGGAAGCAGAGTGGCTGGGGCTCAAACTGGCCTTCCAAAATGGGATGCAGGCTTCCCAAGCAGCAGCGTAACACACTGCACCACTGCGTCAGCCCCCGGGGAGATCGAGTTCCTTTTCTCATAAACATCCCAGGAGGGGACATCCTAAGACTCCCAGATCCCAACAGCAATGGATTCCCATTGTCCCAACCACAGCAAAGACTTGCATTATTCCAGGTGTGCATGACTTTACGGCCGTCCTCGTGTTGCCATCACTTCTTCAGACACGTGGCCTCTCTCTCCAAGGGGTTTTATGTTCCCAAAGAGCAGAGGTGCATCTGCCTCACCTTCGAACCCTGCAGTGCACCTAGCAGAGTGGCTGATAACCTAGAAGTCGTCTGCTCAGTGTTGGGTGAAGAGCTGTGGACTGAAGACATTCCAGGGCACTGAGGTCTCCCCTGTGCCAACTCCATCACTCCTCACAAGTCTTACACCAAAAGAAGGTGTAAGAACACGAATAGAAGTGCTACTAACTCTTGATTGTGTTCTGCAAACTGTATTGTATTTTGAAAAGCAAATGCTTGATGGCTTGCTTTTCATTAAAAATGGCTTTTTAGAAAAATGCAAAGATGCATGTGGGTGTGTGGGTGTGTGTTTGTGGGTGGGTACATGAGTGTGTGTGGATCGCTGTGTATATAATGGTAAGGATCCAAATAGCTGAAGTTGAATATCACAGCCACAAGTGAACATGGGGGCAGCTATCCTACTGTGAAGGAATCTCATGGGGGAATGGCTTGAGAGCTATGAGGAGGGGCCGCCATGGGTGACTGAGCTGAGTGCCGCCTCCTCACTTCAGCAGGGGTGATAGTTCCAATGTTCTGGTTTACAAATGGGGCATGCACTCACTGCTCAGCTCTAGCCTGTCCATCCACCTGGGCCAGGAGGCAAGGGCAGGCTCTGAGTGGGAGGCTGAGTTGGGGAAGGGGCCCAGGGAGTTGGGGAAGAGGAGAGGAAGGGTGGGATTGGGACACTGTGAGATTACCAAGACTGCCATTGGGATGGCCAGGCCTCACCCAGCACAGAGACCAAACGCCAAGAACAGACAACTTCGGTATCAGGTGTTTGGAAGGGTGTGGGGTGGGGGAGGGAGGGTAGGCCTCACCTCTGGGGCAGCCTCTATATATGGCAGGGGGTAGTACAGGGGAACAGGTGGCCTCTCTGAGGAGCCAGGAGACCTTCAGCCTGGGCTAGGCAGCCAAGTCTCCTACTCAGGGGCAGGGGTTAGTCACCCCTGGGGACAGGACAAGGTTGGTTGACTAAAGCTAAAAGCACAAGAGCTTTGAATGATCCAGAATCAATTCCTGTGCTTGACTTCAAGGAGAAGAGCATGCAACCAAAACACAGGTCCAGATGGCATCGCTGAGCCGAGCCCATCTCTAACCCTGG